AAAATAAAAATAATTTCTTTTGAAAAGAAAAAAGACAAAATGAAATTCCTCTAAAAATTATCTTGATAGAAAAAAGTTTATATAAAATAAAATAAATTAATAAAGATTTAAAATATTTCAATTAGAAATAAATTTTATCTTTTACTTTTTCTTATCAAACATATTCCAAACAGAATAAAATCTTGTTAAGTGATAATAAAGAATGCCTAGAAAGTTTATATTTTTATTCTATTTAATGAAATTTATCACTATGAACATATGAATTTAATTATGGTGATTAATATGCTAGAAATATCAAAGAATAAAGAAAAAAAAATAGTAAAACAAAATTGAATTAAAATCGAAATAAACAATATGATAAAGATTCCTAAAATAATCATATAAACTTTAACGAACTCAAATTAAATATAATTTATTCAGATGTTTATCATAAAATGTTAATGCATAATTTTATTTATGAAGCTATCAATATATACTCATAATAAAATCAATTGTTTCTCATTTATTGATAGTTTTTTCTACATTTGGAACGAATATTTTTAATCATCATTGATTTAATTATTGTTATTGTTTTTAATAGAAAAAGAAAAACCAAAGAGATTTGTTTCCTTCATTCTTTATATATTAAATATAGAACTTAATGTGATTTATAGAATCTCAAAAAATAAAATTATTTTATAGAGATTTTTAGTGTATGACATGATATTTAATAAACAACTCAAGGATGGCATTTGTACCCGAGAGTTTATTCATCGATAAATCTATTCAACAATACAACTATCTCATCAAGGAAATATTGTTTAGAGGCGATCATTTCAGAATATTTTTACTATCATGATTAAATCCAATCTTTTGAAAATATGTCTATTTCGCTAGCTTTTATTGAATACACAAAATTCGAACTTACAAATAATTGAAAATACTTATTTCTAAATTGTGTATTTAAATGATAAGATATAATATTCATCTTCTAATGCATTTCATTTTCAACATGAGCAGAAAAATAAAACATTACATTTGCTAATAGTCACAAAATATTTTATATAGTATATTATTTATTTATTTTCTATTTTGTGACTAATAATCTATTCAATAAAAAGAACAAAGAATTCAAATGATAAATTATTATTGTATTCATTACAAAATCTCATTTTTTGTCTAATTTATCAAAAACTTTAATATAAAATATCTAGAGGAATAAGATTGTAACAATGTGTTTTTTATTAGTTATTTAATTTTTCTTAGAATAATTAACAAAATTTGAAAATAATTCAATTTTTTATCTATATTAATACTGTTGTTATTGATTTAATTAATGAATAAATCAATAATATTCTCAATTGTTTCTTCTTTTCTTCATCATAATTTCTTTTTTAGAAATAATTTCTTTAAAACTTATTTTTTGATGAAATAACTGAAATTCGATTAATAAATGCTTGAGAATCTTGTTGAATAGAAATATTTGTTGGATTATTTAATTTTTCTGTAATTTCGGCCACACCCACGTCCGCACTCACATCCACATCCATAAATTAGTTGAAGAAAACAACGATCATGATCGATAAGGCGTCAGCATCTGTCAATGGATGTGCAAAAATGAAAAAACTGTGAAAGCGGTTCTGTCTTAATAGTTCCACATTTTCAAAACGATTTTATCTCCGTAACTGTTTGTATAGCTGATCGAACATTTTGTCGGCGGATGGTTTTCTATCCACTTGATTAACTCAGATTCCGCTGGCCAATACATCTCATTCTCTTCGTAGTTGATATGAACACTCATTGTTCGAAGATTGGTCATTATGTTTACAAGATTCACTACACTTTCTCGAGATTCAACGAAAAGCTGAAAGACTTCACATTGTTGCCCTAATGATGACATGGCAAATGTAGTACATTCTTCATCATCAAAATAATACGGAGAAGAATATAACGTTGAATCAAACTGAAGATGACGAACGGATGCACTTTTAAGTTTGGATAGTCCTGTTAACTCTGACTTGTCCGCGTTATCGACGATTAGCTTATAGAGACGAGGTGCTCGATCAAACAGAACTTGAAGGTCAGATTCCGAGTCTTTCTCATGTATTGATATGCGCAGTGAAGTCAAGTGATCGAATGTCGGAATAATCTTCCAGATATTGTCGGGTAAAGGTAGTGAAATTTGGAGATAATGAATATTGGGAAAGTAAGCATGATGTATATTAAGCTGTTCGTTTACCGACTCCATGCAATCGAGATTATGTACACGATTAAATAAACAATACTTTTCGTCGTCAGGGCAAGTCCATTTGGGTCGTCTTAAACCCTTAGCTATGCCAGTAAATAGTCTAAAGGCATACGGTAAGGTGTAAAGATATCCAAAAGTGCCCGATCCAGCGATTGGATTCCAATCACACCGAACATACCAGTGATGTTCATCAAGCCAAAACTGCGTTCGAAATGTATTAAGTAGTTCATCAATTTCTTCTTCTATGATTGTATCATAGAGCGGTGCTATAAACATTTTGAATCGAAGTTGTTTGAGCTTTGGTAAGTGATCGATAGTAATCTGTTTCCACTCATGCCCAGTCAAGTAGTGATCTTGCATATCAATTGTTAAATGACACAGATTAGGCAAATTCTGAAAAAGCTTGTGCAATGCACGTAATTCACCACAGAAATCGAGTTTTGAAGTCATGATTGATGTTACAACAACTGGAAATTTTTCATACTCATTTTTCAAATTAATATTCATAGAAAGAACTCGAAGGTTAGGCGCCTTTTGATATAGATCAGCTATATCACGCAATGGATGTGGAATATCATTCTGAATGCATAACGATTCGAGAGTTAATGAGATCGTCTTTAATTGACTGAAAATAGCATCAGATATATTATAAATTTCTAGGTTGAGATACGCAAGTTTTGGTAGATTCCAGATTTGATTAAACAAGTAGGGTGTCATTGACTTTTCTTCTGAATCATAACATCGGCTGATGTTGAGATAAATCAAATGGATGAGACGATGAGTTTGACTTAGAGTTGTGATTATGTCTTTACAATGAGCATCACATATCGAAAGCAGTCTTAAGTTAATGAATTGATCGAAAGTAAACTCCATCAAGAAGATAAATATACCTGGAGTTTCAATACGATCACCAAGACGAAGTGAAACTATACGATCGACGATCGATACACGACGGTTTCCAAAAAAAGGTGTTGAAATCTTGTGAGTATATGCGTCGTAAATCGAGATAATACGCTCGGAACTGTTCGTAAAGTAACGTGTTAAAGCGAGAGTTGAGACCATCAAAAGCATGAAGTAAATCAAAAACGTCGAAATATTCGAAAACTTCAAGTAAAAGTTCGTTGACTAGTGATTCAAATCGTAACATTCTTCGTTTGCGTCTCGTATGTTTCTTTCTTACTCGCAACAAATATACGTTGCTATGTGTTGTGTTACGATTTCTTTTCTTCACACAGCTTCTTTTCACTCTTTTTTTTGCTTATTTTCACAAGAGTAACGCAGCCTTGCACAAAAAGAAAGAGAACAGCAGAACAAAAATAACATATTTACTTATTTCTCTGCTAGCAGACAAAATTATACAACAACGACAAGTAGCTATGACCATTATGACGTCAATTGGAAACCTATTTCAAAGACCCTTTTTAAAGTGCGAAGAGAAAATGATACTACTAATGCTTTCATTTACTCGTTTGAAACGTACTACCTTTCAGAGTAATAAGCTGTTTACCTTTCCTTCTTCATTACTCTTCGTATCGTTTTCGTTATACTGTGTTTATCTTATCTTGTCTGTTTATCAACATCAACGTGAAATGTGTAAGAATATATGTTCAAAAAACATACACTTAATTCGTGTTTCCTATAGTATGTGTGCTCCTGGATTTTTGAATCATAGAAGTGAGTAATGAATGAGGAAACGCAATATTGAATAAATAAAGACTAGTGACACTTGTAATATAAAGGATTCTATGACAAATACTGAGATCTCAAACTTACGCTTTACTTTACTTGTGCATTTTGGCTACTGAATCAATCACAGTCATGGATCGAGAGAAGAATTTAAAATTAAAATAGCCTGCAAATCTCAAAAACAAAATTCTAAATCTGTTGTTTCTTCCTTAATTTTCAGCCGTAATACACAGTGTATTTCCTAAACTGAAAGGATAGGTTCTGTCACACGGCAAATAATTCATTTGCCTGCTAGTCTGTGTTTTCACAATTTGAGAGTCACCGGTTTTATTCTTCGGTTCAAAATCATTTCTCTCTTCGATGATCATTTGTGCGCCTTTCTATTCTTCTATAGTCAAGAGATTTCATCTCATGATCCGATTAGTCATAGCTACTCTCCAAACAACTTTTTTTACCTAAGACTACGAGACAATTCAATGTATCAAACAGATACGAATGACATCCCGAAAATAAATCCTACGACGAACCTCAAACGTGTTCTGAATCTACAGTGTAGTTTGAGTGTTATCTTGTTGTTTTATATTTTCTCAAATGCTTAAAAACTTTAATATTATTTCTTTCATTTCATTGATTTATCAACTGAACTACTGTATGTGCTATTCTGTTTATTTTATTGAAGAATGCATTAAACAATAATACAATTGTCAGTTATTACTGATTCCAGTTACTGAATCATAGTAGCATCACGACGAAAAGTAATTGTTTGTCCGTCAGATTGAATATATTTGTTTATTTTTAATAATTGTTTAATTTTTCGTCGAAATCCAACATTCGAAATAAGTGATACATAGAAACTCGTTGCGAAAAATACGTAATTAAGTAAATGAATCAATTCAATGAATATGTTTTCCCAAGCGATTTGTAACGGTGTTTTGTACCATGTTTGTGTTATATTTGAATATGTCAATTGAACTGCATATGGAAAATATGTAACAACAGCAATTATTGATTCTGTTACTAACATCTTAGTTAATTGTGCATCCATATCCTTAAGCATTGAATTTTTTTGACTGATGTTTGCAGATATACTATTCATAGGTACAACTCTTCGATTGGCAATACCTCGCTCACTTTTGATCAATAGGTAAGCCAATATGGCCATTACAACAGTCGAAGAAAGTGAGGAAAATATCACTTGAAAATAATTATCATAGTCGTTATATAAACCGTCGGGAGGACCACATGTACCATTCTTTATTCTGTATAAAATGAGTCGATGACCAATGAGTAGTAACCAAAATAAAGGAATTAAGATGATCATTTTATATGCCACAGAAACACGATTACTCCATTGTCGATATGCTTAAAATAGAACAAATTCATTAAAATACAAAGTTTCAATTATTATCTAATCGTACTTACTATTAGATCGTTGTACAGATAGAAGTCGATCAATAATAGCAAATGAAAACAAACTAAATGAAACTATATTACCCCAAAACGTACTAAATTGACGAAGTTTGCAGATAACAAGGTAACGATTCATTACTGGAATTCGAAAGCCATTTTGTAGTATGCGTGTTAATAATACGAAATTGAAATAATGACAATCAGCGACTGCTGCTGTGAATAAATATACTGCATAAGATTGTTTTCGAAATACTCGAGAACGATATACCAACATATTACCAATACAACCGAAATTACCCATAATCCAAAGAAATGAACCAAAGAAAATATTCAATTGATAAGGTGCAATTAAAAGAGAAGCACTAATAACACTAGTGGTATTATTCATTGTTTGTTATTTATAATAATAAGTGTCGATGTTTTGATACGAGAGAAAAATGGGATATGTGTAAATAATCTTTATGAAGCGTTTGATATATTTAGTATTTCCAACGTTCTTTGAATCCGTCTATAATAACACTAATCAAAAAATATCAAAGGAGTGTTAATTATATCATAGAAAAGAGGATTGAAGTAGTTCATGTATGAACATGTCGTTTTTCTAAAAATACTAAATCACTGTAACCCTACGGAACATTAGTCTCATTTACACAAAAGATAACATAAGTGAGAATATGATCGAAGAAGTTTAATAACGTAGAAAAGCTGAAAATAAAACTAACGAGTGTTTCATAAAAAACCTTGAGACAGTGGGTGAAGATGCAGTATGACATAAATACTCTCACTACAACAACACACACACACTCGTGTAAGATATTCTAACGCGTTTTTTTTTGAATAATACCTCTTTTAACTAATCTTACCGTGTTATATATATAGCTATATATCGCACATAATTTCACGCGTGAGATATTCTAATCCGTTTTCTTGAATAATATCGCTTCTGATTAATCTTGCCTTATTATCTATCGTTAGATGTTGCACACATTTTCACGCGTGAGACATTCTTACGCATTTTTTTGAACAATATGACTTTTAATCAATTCTACCGTATCATATGTCATTAGATATTCCATACATTTTAATTCATGAGGTATTCTAATGCGTTTCATCGAATAATATCGGTTCTAATTAATCTTATCGTATTATACGTCGTTAGATGCGGCATACATTTTCACGCGTGAAATATACTTACACATTTTTTTGAACAATATGACTTTTAACTAATCTTACCGTGGGTGTGACTAATTGGGAGCATTTATTTTTCAACCATCTACATACACGCCCATATCCTCAAGTAATGGAAAGTGTATCTATGGTTGGTGATAGATGCACAACTCGAATTATTTTTGATTTTGATGCATAATATTCATGACTAGATACCATGTTTTCAACATATAATTTTGGTGTACCATTCATTGTTGAATCATGGAGATGTAAGCAAGCACTTCTGAACAAGCTCAAGTTTCCAATCATTTCGATTTCTTCTCGACGAATATCTTTGGTAATTCTCAAGATTATACCTAAATGTCGACAATAGTCTTTGTAAAAAATTAGTAAAGGAAAAGAAATATGAATCGAAGATGCTTTCAAAGCGAAAAGTACAATATGACGTTAGTAAACCATTATCGTCAATGGTTTGCCAACACGATTGATTCAATGAATAACTTGATGATTATGTCTAGCAGTGTAGAGTTTTGAATATTCCATTAAAAAATTTATTACGAAGACTTTTTACATTGTTGACTATAGCCTTGAGTAAAGCTAGTTGTTATGCAAAATGTATAGCGACCATTAATTTAAAAAAATACTTGTAATATTTGGTTTTAAGGAATTTCTTAAATATTTTTTTGTATTTAATAATTAAGGGTGTGGGTGTGCGCCATAGTTAAGAAAACACAAACATTCTCACTTAACTACACCCACACCCTCAAGATACAACGAAGGATTCTCATCCAGTAGATGCCGTTTCTCTAGAATTTATACAAAATGTTTGTTCACTCTTGTATTGAACTATCAGGTCTTATAGTTGTCTTTAATGTCCAACAGAGAAAAATAACCTACATTTTTTATGACAATTCAAATTTTTTCAATGACACTTGTACTGATGGAAAACCATACTAGTTGCATTTGAAAGAGAGAAGGTTGTGCATGATATACTTTTGTCAACTGATTTTGTTTTTTTCATTATAAAAATAGAAGAAATCAATCACATTCATTGGTAGAGCTGCTCTCATCAGCTTACTAAACAAGAGGAAACCTTTTTTTTGCAATTCATGTATATAGTCGGCTGAAAAATTAATTAAAAAAATTGTATATTTTTTATTCATTTCAATCTGTTTCAAACGAGAGAAAGACGTATGGAATTATCGCGCCTCTCGCTAGCATCTTATCGATCTCGTATCACACACTCGAGTACAAATGCGTCCCACTTAGTTCATCGTGTCGGCAGTGTTAGTTCACGGCCCACATCGATCATAAAGTTATCTCATGTTTCATCAGCTCCTTATCGGCCTCGTATCACGCGGGTAGGTCAAAGAGATCTTAGGTTGACTCATCGTAAGAAGAATTTAAAACCTCAAATGAGAACCACCGTGGAACGTTTGAGTAAGTCATCAGCTTCCTCTCGTCGTCGCATCGTGCCCATTAATCAACGAGATTTTGAATCTATTCGTGATGCCACGAGTATTGGTTCTCGAACTGCACGAGTAAGTTTGTCTATCAATATGAAATCAGTCTATCTAAACTTACGTTTCTATTTCATAGTCAAACAAGAGTTCGATACATACAAGAAATGGTATATCACTACCAAACATCAGTGATCGCTCGAATATATTTGATCAAAAATCTCAAGCGAATAAAAAACGAAAAAAGTAGGTCATCTTCTATACCATACATTTAAAACTTATAAACTACTGTTTATTTCTAAAGTAATATATCTTAAGATTGTTTTTGAACAAGTTTAAAAAAAACAAGAATTATTATTCGATAAAACTTTTACAAAATTTGTTATTTATTCGAATCACTCTATTTAGAAAACGTATGTTGGCACCAGCATGGCTTTTGTTTTGTAGTTTGCTTTGTGCTGCTCTGCTCTTAGCTGCAATCGCTAGCATACTTGTTGTTATGTTATGTGCGTATACATTTTACGATATTTCCTACTTATCTAATTTTTCATTTAATTACATAAACGAAAATAGTACCCAAGCCGTTGGTATCAACATCGACGACAGGGACGAGTGAGTAATTCAATTATATATTAAGTGCATAGTTCTAGATAAAATAGCTGGAATTGTTAAGAAGAGAATCTATAGAAATTATCTTCGAGACACGTAACGATCAATTCTTGCCTACGTTGAAATATACAGAATAATACATAAAACAAGAATTATTCATCACTACAATGAAATAATGATCACGAGCACGTACTATCTGATAGTTTATATTTTTAGTCTCTTAAGGAATAGGCACAGTCATTCACGTACTGATGAGCCGTTCCTAAAGGAGTTCGCATAGTAATTATTTTTAAAATAAATACATATAATCTAGGATTTTATTATAAAAATAATAATTGAATTTTCTTTGTCATAAAATATGTAAATTTAATTATGAATATATTATTTTGAAGCAACTCAATGATTCTTATCAAGAATCAGTATAACTACTTTTCAATTTAATTTTCATATCGATAAAAACCGATAGAATATAACAAACATCTATTGTTTACTATATTTTTCACTAATTATTTTCTGTTTGTCAAATATTTTTCTTCGATAGGCAGAATACGATAATGATTTTAAAATGTTAATCTTAATTTATATAATGAGTCTTGTACATCACAGCAGCAAGAGAAATACAATTAGAATTATAAAAAACTGAATAAATGTCATCATCAAGATTTATAGCGGAGTTTCTGTATTAGTCTATCGTCACGTCTATATACTACAATTGTTAATTATAGGTACGACATCAACTTCTAGTACAAGCGCGACTTCAACTTCTAGTACAAGCACGACTTCAAGTACTAGTACTAGTTCGTCTTCAACTACTAGCACAAGCTCGACTTCAACTTCAAGTACAAGCTCGAGTTCAACCAGTAGGAAATCATTACTATTAATATCATAATCACTCTAATCTAATGTTGATTTTTAGCGTCGAAAACGACTAGTACAAGTACAAGTTCTACGACGAGTGAGCTTATTTTTTTTGAAATACACTAATTACGTATGATCCTACATTTATAACAGGTACAGCAACGACAACATCGTCAACATCAGCGACGACTTCGACAACATCAAAGACTACTACCACAAGTGTAACAAGTAAGTAGTGTTCATGCATCAAGTTATCTAGAAACTTTTCTGTATAACAAGCAATTAACTATTATCGAAAAGTTCAAATACAACTAGAAATGTTAATAAGACAAACTTGACATCAGGTTTTGCTTCTCGCGACACAAAATTATATGACACATTTGCAGTTTTCTGTATAAATTTTAACGTAGATGTAGTAAAAAGACATGTATCAGCATGATTGTTAGTTCTAATATGCAAAAAATGTCGTCTCTCTTCAAACTATGAATTGATATTTATAATTTTCACTGTTTGTAGCGAGTACAGCAACAACTACCACAACGACAACTACTACAACGACAACAGGTAAGTTTATTAGTATCAATATTGTTCATTTTTACAATTGATTGTAGTAATGATATGCACCGGCGGAAACAGTATTACTTCTGGAGCTTTTATATCTCTATCTGGAACAAATCCGTCTTTTTATACTCAATACAATTACAGCTATGTAGCAATGACTACATCACCAATTCTTATGTTCGCATTCGAAACCGATTTGAATAGTAACTATTTTTTAGACAGTGTATCTGTCACCAAGGCTACTGTGCCATCTATTCAGTTACTTCAAAATTCAGGTTTTGAAAATTCAACCACACAGTTGAATGGGTGGGTATTATCGTGTAATGCAACATGTAGTGCAGGTGCTGGTGGACAAGCAACTTATGGCACTAACTGCTATTTATCAACTGGTAACTGCTTTTTGGCCGATTGTCCTGATACTTCTGGTACTGGTGCGGTTGTTTTTCTAGGCCAAGCCTTTTCGGCCACCATTGGTATTACTTACACAATATCTTTTCGACTAAAAATGGCTTATGGAGGAAGTGGCAGTAGTAATACTAAATTCACTGCATCTATCCGATAAAAACATGAATAAACACAAATGTGTATAATTTTTTTCTACGTTTGAGCTGGATGATAATATTGTCAAATGAACATTTTTTAGCGAAAATAATTTTCATTTCATTTTTGGGTGTGGGTGTAGATGAGAGATCAAGACTATACCTACATATACCCTTGTAATAATCAAATAAATTTAACAGAACATCATGTAATTCCAATAATATCTTATTAAGAAACATTAAATTATAAAATTACAAAAGAGATCCAAATAGAAGATTTATTATTCGGTTTAGTTAGTAATAAATTCAAACCTTGTCAAGTAATCAAGATGAAAGGTACGCGATTAATTAATCAAATGTTAGCAAGCTCATTTGTACATATCAATAATCATCATATAACACAATTGTATGTTTTTTGTTCGTTATTATTATGAACTGATTCGATTTTGTATATACAAAATGCAAGTTATTTTCAAACCGATATTTTTACGTTAACGTAACCTTTTCGCGACATTATCCTTTTATTATTCTGAGATTTTTTTTTGGTCAAATCTTTTAGTTATTAAAAAAATATATTAAAACAAAGAAAAATGAATACTCTTCGTTTCACTACTGAAATTGACTCGTACATGCATATATAACAAAGTGTATATTATGATTAGTAAACACAACAAACATCAAAATTACATTTGAAAGTAGAAGAAACAAAAGAGCAATTAATTTTTTGCATGATGCTTAATAATGACATGAATTTCACCTTTAGAACGAAGACCAAGCATACTCGGCAGTGTGACCCATGCATTATAACATTCCTTTCCAAACACATGTTTTTTCAAATCAATTTTTGCTGAACCAATCGAATCTCGACCCACAGCATCATCATCATACACATGGAGATGTAAATAATCAGTCTTGTTTTGTAAATTACTGAAATAATAGAAAAGATGAAAATCATAATAGTGAAAATTGACCTTACAAAGTAAATTTTTGATTCCATGTTGGATTATCTGTATCTTTAGCAATATTTGTTCGTTGTTTGTAATCTTTGTCCAAATAAACTTCAACATATGCATCATTCTTACCTACGATGTCTTGATCTTTAAGATTACGACCTTCGATAATAGTTACATCGAGAGTACCCTGTACCTGACCCATTTCTGTTCGATATTTGTTGCAAATGATTAAGTGAATGATGAAAAATATCTCTATATGAAATAAGAAATACGTTGACTTTTATTTATTAACAATGAGACAACAGCTGGTCGTTTCTTTCGTTCTTTTTTTCTGAATATTTCAATATTCAGATTAGTTCGACACACACAATCATCGTTCTTAAACATTAGCTCCACATCTGTGGCGATAATAATTGTATGACTATTTAGAGAAAGAAAAAAGTAACTTAAAGAAACACTAAATGATTACAAATGTGCTGTTCTATTTTTTATTCGATTGTGAAATTATATAAATCAGTTATATGCTATTGATGAACTGTTTCTTTGAAACAGTGTGCTCTCATATTCTTAAATAATGTATAATGATTGAGTGCGCATGAAGGATATATGTACAACATATACACCCATTCACCTATTTTTCTCGAATAATAATGTAACAATATCAGATTTATCCAATACCAGAATACTCAATACAGTGAATTGTGATAATACGATCACCACTTATGAAAAAATCAAAACATTTCGTCAATAGATGTGGATATTCTATTTAATGCATACCCACCGAACTTGTTTAAAATAACGCGAGAGAATGAGTTAAATATTAATGTCAAAATACGAATATGACACCGTGAACTTATGCCTTTGAATGTTTTGTTTGCCAGGAAATAGAATCAAGTGATAATGTCTTTTCTCAAATTCACAGAATATCGATGATGAGAATGTGGTAAGTTCCATTCCGACATATTCTGTATACTTGTAACACGTATTCCAAGAGATCTTATTCTATTTTCTGACCAAAATGATGGTGAAATAATAATATTACATGAGACCTTGCCATAGGCATCGAATGGTATCATAGTGAAACACATCGATGCACCAGGTTTCGCGATACGTACTAATTCTTTCATTAAATTTTCGATACTGTCCAGTGATGGAAAATAACAAATAACACCCGAAGCAATAATATGATCGATTGTATTATTATCAATCATACTGTAGTCATTATTCGTTACAGTATAAAGTTTCATACGATCTGGTGGTAAGATGGTTCGAGCAATAAGAACAGCACTTGTAACAATATCAGTTCCAACACCTTTAGCATATGGGTATTGAAGTAATAATCGACGTGAAAAGGCACCTACACCCACGCCTAATTCAAAAAAGGTAAAATTTTTAGTTGATGACATCGGTGGATCAAGCTTAGCAATGGTATTATTGACAAAGTTACGCCAGCCTTGTGCATTAAAATTACTCCAGTGCGAAAGATGATGTAGTTTATCATCGAGTTCATTAGCTGACCATTGTTGAACCTTGCTAGAGTTTGATAAAACTTCTTGAAACCAATTTTGGATTCCTATCACAATAGCAGGAGCACGTGTTGTTACCGGAAATGTTTGTTTGTTTGACGAAGTAGTCATCAGCTTGTTGAAAAGAGCAGATGATGTTGAAATGAGACCTTGTGGTACCACCAGTTTACGCGTCACTTGAATGCCATTCTGTAAATTAGATTGCCTTCGGAAAACAAGCAAATACGCACCAAAAACAAGAATTATTAAAAAGGAACTTAGTCGATAACGCATGTCGATAATTACAAGCAAAGTACTTTTCCGTTTAATTATTAACTTATTGCTTGTTTATTATTTCTTTGTAAGAAAAAATAAATTTCAAAATGAGAAGATCTAAAAAAGAAGATTTGAAATAGTATCTTTTAAAAAATAGTTAAGTAAAAGCTTTCTACATAATCGAATATCTAAAAAGTTTTAGGTAAAAATATTTTTATTCTAATACAAACATAAGAACTGATTCAAAAACAGCTTTCATTGTAAAGAAAATACTGGGCTTTCGAAACTGTTATCAAACAGTGCTTCATACTACAAGATAGCCGAAAGCTAGAGCATTCTTTCTAAATGTCTAAATAATGAATATTTGATAAGAGCAGACAATATTTATCAATATTATGAACTCTGTAAGTATCTTCTACTTTCAAATGGATATATTTTTCTAAAAAAACAGATTTCATTGGCATTCTATCCATATTCTCAAATCAAATCTTAATATAGACTATTTGGATTAGATTAATAAAGTTCTCTCCAGAATTATTTATATTATAATTAATAAATAGAACACACATCAAAATTACATTTGAAAGTAGCAGAAACAAAAGAGCACTTATTTTTTTGCATGATGCTTAACAATGACATGAATTTCACCTTTGGAAAGAAGACCAAGCATAGCCGGTAGTGTGACCCATGCATTATGACATTCTTTTCCAAACACATATTTTTTCAAATCAATTTTTGCTGAACCAATCGAATCTCGACCCATGGTATCATCATCATACACATCCAAGTATAAAGAATCATTATTGTCTTGTAAATTACTGAAATAATAGAAAAGATGAATAAGATGTAAGTCATAATGATGAAAGTTGAACTTACAAAGTAAATTTTTGATTCCATGTTGGATTATTTGTATCTTTAACAATAGTTGTTCGTTGTTTATAATCTTTGTCCAAATAAACTTCGACATATGCATCATTCTTGCCTATGATATCGTTATCTTCAAGATTACGACCTTCGACAATAGTTACAGCGAGAGTGCTCTGTACCTGACCCATTTTTGTTCGATATTTGTTACAAATGATTAGATGAATAAGAGATACGTTTAATTTTATCTATTAACAATGAGACAACAGCTGGCTTTTTTCGTTCTTCTTTTTTTTTCTGAATATTTCAATATTCACAGTAGTAGAACAGATAAAATCATCATTCTCAAAACATTAGCTCCACATCTGTGGCGATAATGATTGTATGACTATTTAGAAAAGAAAAAAGTAACTTAAAGAAACACTAAATGATTACGAATGTACTATTCTATTTTTTATTCGGTTGTAGAATTATATAAATCAATTATAAGCAGTTGATGACAAATTTCTTTGAAATAGATGAGCGCAAAATGAAGATAATTACTCACACCCTTACCAAATTCATAGCATGTGTCATATATTAAAGCACTCAGAGAACAATACAGATAATGAAATGATAGCATAAAACTAAGTAGAAAGAACCCATATATTAAATAAATAGACCAAATCGAGGACATGATTAAATCTCATTCACTCGCATAAAATTAATAGTTTGATATAGAAGTGAAACTGAAACCAGCAATATCAATGAAAAGTAAATGAAATATTAGTTAAAATATACTGAATATAAGAACTTGACATGGCAGTAATGTGATAGAAGGATTATAAATCCATTGACATATGAGAAAGTAAGATCTATGACAAAAGATTAAAAGTGTTGATGAGTGAGAGCAAGTAAGGGTAGGTATCTTTTCATTTACTTACACATCCATCAAATGACATCCAAACGGTAGTTTTTAATATGTGTTTTTGAATTGTCACTGATCTGTTATCACATTAGAGAAAGAAGTTTATTACAATTTTAACAAACACAAAGAAACAGAACAATCAACAAAATATAAGATATAAAATCAATTTATTGGCCTATGAGAAAGTCGATCATTTTTTATTACTTTTTTGAGTGGAGTAATACATGTGATTTACTTTTGAAAACAATATATGAAAGTTCTTCTGTTTTTTTTCTATTTAGTTTATACATTAATAAATGACGAGAGAAATTTCTGAGTACACACATAAAACATTGATCAACAAAGTTGTGCTGATCTTACATATAGTAAAAAAGCAGTAACTATTAATTCTCCTTTCATCACTTATCAGAAAATTGAATCTTTGCAACTTAGGATTAGATATAAAAATAAAAGATCATCCTAAATTGCATGATCAATCAATTCCTCGACTCAATATTTCACGATAAATATCGACTTACACAATAGTAGCAGGAAATTTATATGTTGTCAAATATTTGATATTATTATTTCAATCTCCTTCCAGTAAATCACATCATTATCCATTGAAGTCAAATGGTTGGATGAGGGCAAAGGATAAATATACAATATTCTCATACCCCACATCCACCATGAAATTTAAACAAACAAATACTAAAGAAATCTCAGATGCATAATCTTTGAATCTTCTAAAAATAAATAACAATATTCAAAAACTGTACGGGTTGCAATTCTGTTTATTTGAATTTAATCGAAATGAAATTTCACATTTCTAGTATTCATCTTTCTCTATCATAATTGAATATTTCTTTCGACAATCATTCATGGAGAAGTTGAAATGATTCGAGTAGCAAGAATAGCTGGTTTATTCATATGAAATGTTGAAATACAGAAAAAAAACGAGACAAAAAGCAAATTATGAATATATAATTGGTGGCGGGTATAATGTAAGTTATGTGGTTCATGTATATTGCTCTCAACCAATGAAAATAAATGCCATGCAAACCATAATAGTAATTACCGACGTTATAAGCATTTCAGCCGATGATTTCGATGTTGTCGACGTTGTGGCTGTTGTTGTCGTTGTCACTGTTGCTGTTATTGCTGTTGTCGATGTTGTTGATGCCGAAGTTGTCGTCGATGTTGTAGATGTTGTTGATGCTGTTAATGTTGTTAATGCCGACGATGTTGTCGTTGATGTTGTAGATGTTGTTGAGGCCGATGTTGTCGTTGATGTTGTTGATGTTGTAGATGTTGTTGATGTCGTCGATGTTGTTGACATTGTCGATGTTGTTGATGTTGTTGATGTTGTCGATGTTGTTGATGTCAACGATGATTGAGTTTGAATAAACGCAGCAATGCCAGCCAGTTTCGGAATGCTTGTCGTATCACCTAATTGTGAAATAACTGTACTAAGAGCTGTAGCATTTCCGGCAGCATTTAGTTGATAACCGCTGATAACATGTGCGGTAGTACCTATGACATACAGATAATCTTTACCTGCTAAACTCACCACTGTTGCTTCAAGGGCACCAGTATTACTAGGCAATTGATAATATTGAACAATTTGAGCAGGATTAGATGCTGAAGTGAGATTAAGATTCAATTCAACAATGCTTGGTGTTCCCGCACCGATGGCATAATAATTACCAATATTTGGTGAATACGTTGACCAACATAATGCACTGGCAAGTGTTGTATTGACCCCTGTTAACATACTGTTGTTAATCATTCCAGTTGTTGATGAATATGTCATAGTTAAAACTCCATTGGCACCGGGGTCAGTAACTAATAGACCATTCATACCCACGAGGGTCATAGAAAATGGTTGAGCAGCATTCGTGGGCGTCATTTGCACTGCATTAGACGCTAACACACTTGTATTATTACTCATGGGATAAAATAAGAGATAACCTGGGGTTGTCACATTGATACCTTTGACAGAAACAATTAAAGCAAGATTATCTGCTGAAAATAAGATTTGACTCAATGTTCGTGCAGGACCAGTAGGTGGAACCGTTGTAGATATGTAAGATGTAAGATTTCGATCAAACGATGACACAACAAACAGACCTGATGCATTGTAAGTAAAACATCGAATTCCTGTAATAGTACCGCCAGTTAAAACACATGCATACATGGCGTTGACAGTTACCGATATAGGAAACATGCCATTTGTAGGTTGTACCGATAATAATGTTAATTGTGTTGCATCCGATTGATTAATCATAAACATCGACAATGAATTTGATCCTGGATTGACAGCAAACAAATAATTTGAATAAACCATTAGGGATCCTTGTGAAAACAGTGGATCTGCCGTTGTAGTATTCACACCAGTTCCAGTGGTATTCACTGCGTTATACATTACCAATTGTCCATTTAAAGTGATACTATGAATCAATATTTGATTCATAGCCGCCCCATTCGACATTGTATAGACCGCACCAACATAACCTGCTGATGTAGGATACAATGTTTGGCATTCAATATTTTTACTTAAGATCAGAAGAAACACTATTTTCAATGAAACTAACAGCATCATGATAGATAATGCTAATGTTTACGGTAAAAAGAAAACGTTCCGAGATTAAATGAGAGAAAGAGAAAAAGATGATGAGAGAGTATTTTTCTTTTTCTTTCGTAATCGAGCGTTAGATAAAATTATCTGCTTGGGAGGTCGTCTGCAATGACAAATACGTCACACAAGTTATTTTTTTTTCTTTTCTCATTAATTCCATCAATATTTTTTTTTGGAAAAACAAGATCTTTTTTTTCATTTACTAAGATGGTACTTGTTGTACACTTCATTTTGAAAAATATTTTAAACGACACGTTAAAAAAGTTGCTTGAAAGAACAATCGTCAATGATTTATTTAATATCCGATATAGCGAAAAATACTTCGTCATATCCATTTGCTATATATAAACTGTATTTGATTGGTCGTATTCTTTATGGAAAAAAAACTGAATACGCATATTGTCTCACATAAATAAAATATGTGAAAAGAACTGGAAATAATAATGCGCCATTTCTCGATGCCACATAGTGCGATTAAAATACGTCAAAGAAATGTTGACATGTCAAAAATAATATTCTCAGTTTCATTTTTCTTTGGAAACATCACCTCGAGTCGTCATTTTTATTAATTATAATATTTTGAAGGAAACAGAAAGTTATTAAAAATAGAAATAAATAGCATGACAGTAATGAGAAAAAAGAAACGTCATCATAATGAAGAAAATGAAGCTATTCAACTTGAAATTAATTAGAAATGAAAAGATTCATTAGCAACGCTTATTCGATGATGAAAGAGTATTTTATGCGGAAAAACATTTATCACCAAAAATAAATTTTAAAATAAATGAATATAAATATGAAATTGATTTACGCATTTTTAAAATCATTCAGATCTAAAATTTCTTTTTTTTCTTTCATATATCTATATTTCATATAAATTACTATTATAAACATTAGTACTGGATGATCTTGATCCTATTTTTATCACTTTAATATTGGAAATGAAAAATAATTGGAGATTTTCCAGTTCGTATTAAGTTAATACCTACTTTTTGCCTGATTGAGATCTCTTTTTACAACTTTTATTCGAAAAATCTTATACTCGCGTATGGGTCTTAGATAATTATACTTGGTAATGGATTGAAGAAACGGAAGTGTTACTTCCGTTCAATTAAAATAAAAATAAATTATTAGTATTTTTCATTTATTCTAAATATAATTCAGATACAAAGTTCTTATCGAATGATCTTTGATCAATCTGCAGAACTTTAACTTGTGCTCCATAAGTATTCCATCTTCTGTGGCTGCAGTTTTACCTAAATATCGAATGAATATTTGAATTTTATTCCATTTTTTTACGAAGATCATTTTGAATAATAAGAGATATGATGGATATATTTAAACGTTTTCCGAGGTAGATGAATATCGTATTCTATGTTCGCAATTCCCACACATGCACAAACAACATTATAAAAACAAGCGGAATTTTTATCAAGCTTCGAAATATGTTAAGAAAACAGTTGTTCTTCATAAAAAGATTTATTCAGATGATCATCTGGACACATGAAATATAATATTAAGTACTGTTCTTCTGTTTTCACGAAAGAAAGATTGTTCGAGCGTTCTATCCTTACAGTCTAGGGAAAATATAGTGAATTTTGGGGTGTGGGTGTGAGTATTCTATTAAATTCATCCTCACACCCACACCCACACCCTCGATATTGACTTCTAATAGCATGTGACATATTCAAAAATTCTGAAAATTTTAACTGCTTTTATATAAATGAGCAATACCAACAGAGGAGACACGAATGAATGTGAGTATGAGCGTAGATGAAGGTTAAAATAAGATATACCCACACTCTGAGAGAGGATCAAACTAGTTGTAGTAACGGTTTATTATAATAGTAATACCTTCAACTTCATCCTCAATATACTATTCCTGTATTGCTATATTCTTTTTATTAGATATGATATTTATGAAGAAGAGGAAAGAGAGAAAGAAATATGTCATTGTATTGCGACACAAATTTACAAACAAACACGTGTCTCACCTTTCCAAAGATATGTGTGTGACTATTCAGGAATGAATAAAGATGATGTCATCTTCATTATTATTTATTATAACCAATGACTCAGAATATTACTCTTTAGGTGATTTTGTTCTTTATTATTGCACAACGACTTCATAATGATAGATGATTTAAACTACTGCTACTCGTTCTACTTCGTCTATTTATTTTAAAATCATCTATTCGAATAGTATATAACAGGTATGTACACTACTAAACTGCATCTACTTTATATCTTTATTAGTTATTACTATTCACAACAATAACCGTTGAACGACTGATATCTGCCTTCTTCTTCTTCTTTTTCAACATGAGAACCAATGGCCTTAAATTCTGTAATTTCGAAGTACTTAAATTTATTAAGAAGCACACTTCTAAAGCTTTTGATATACAAGCATTTTATTTTCATTGTACTCTAGTCTTTCATTAAGCTATATGTAATGACGTATGTTTTTCTCTTTGTAGCGGAAAAGAAGCAACACTTGTGTTTTTGCATCATCACTATTTTTATTAATAATTATTTTCAATCTAAGAAAGAACAAATGGCACTTAAAAAATCCGTCGTAATTATTGGAGGAGGATGGAGTGGAGTTGGAGTTGCTGGATCATTAGCATACAATAATTTTCATGACTATATTTTATTAGAACAAGCAGACAGTATTGGAGGTTTTTGGAAATATCATACCTACGATTCTGTTCGGATGCATGATCTGAGTAGATTATATAAAACACCTCATGATCTTTCAGAGAAGTATAAAGATCATTTTCTTTTGCAATCCGAAGTGCCAATATATTTACAGCAATACGCAGATTATTATGGAATATCAAATCACATACTATTTGGATTTAGAGTAACACAAATTTCTCATCAAGATGATGAAGAATTCTGTTGGACTGTAACTGGAATTAACGTAGGCGAAAATATTGAAAGAACTTACATCTGTAAATACCTTTGTATTGCAACTTCTTACTGTCGAGTTCCAGTCATTCCAGAAAATATAAAGAAATCTATGAATCATTTTAAAAGAAAGATAATTCATTCAGCTGACTATAAAAATCCGTCGAACTTTGATATTTCAAAGCATAGAAAAATTCTTATTATTGGAGGTGGACATTCATCTTCAGAAATCTCAACTGAATTAACAGATGCTGGATTTCATGTTACTATTGCACATCGTAGTGGACAGTATTTTATGAGACAACAAGATTGGACATCTTACTTATCTAATCAAACAATTGAAAAATCATTACAATATTGGAGATATTCGATGGCAGATGAAAACTTTAAAGAGATATTGGAAATATTCAACGAACAATTTTCGGAAAAAAATATATCATATTAACGATGAAATTCATTGGTCAATACCAATTTTAAGACCTGCTTCATTTATAATTTTACATAAGAAAACATTTATTGATGATATGCATTTTGTTGATTTACTTCAAAACAAATCAATTGAAATAAAAGGAAGTGTTAGAGAAATTACTGAAGAAGGGGTTATATTTGAAAAAAATTCAGAAATTCAAGAATTTGATGGAATTATTTTATGTACTGGATTTTCACATGGACTGGAACAATTCTTAGATGATACAAATCAATATTTAAGTAATCATCGTTATCATCAGTTACCACCAGAAAAATCATCTTTACCAATAACAGATGGTAGATGTAAATCAATAATAAAAAACAATTTATATTTTCCAGGATTTGATTATGGAATTAATCAGAGAGTCGATTTTGCATTATATTCATGGTATGTTGGAGAACGAATACTTAGTGATATTATTGGAAATGATTTTACTCCTGAATTATCTCCTTCTAAATTTAAATAAGAAAAAAAAATTTTTTTTTGTTTTATTTTCGAATTTCATATAAGTCAAGAATAAATCTTTGAGTCAGTAACAAAGAATATATGATAACTATACTTAACTGTTGAACAATGTCTATCTTTTTTTATATAAGCATATGTTCTGTATGTGAATGCAGCGAGTTCTTGAAGGTGTGTGTGAAGAAAAGATAAATTTATACGCACATCCTCAATGACCTTTTATTTGATAAACAATTATATAGATTTCGACTGTAGAGCGAATGACAACAAATTAGTTCCAAAGTATAATCATTGATTACCAATTGCTCTATCATAAAAACAATGTCAATCGATATCCATCTCAAATCTTTGAATTCGATGATTATAATAATCCACAACAAAGAGATTTCCTTCTTCATCAAATGATAAATTTACAGTTCCACTGAATTGATTTGCTTGTTGTCCCCATCCATTCCCACCAAGAACAATCGAACCTTCTTTATCTCCTTCACACCAACGCATTATTCGATTCTTTCCTGAATCAGCTACATAGACATTACCCATATGATCAACAATCACTCCTTGAGGACGATATAATTGTGTGAGACTATCTCCTTGACCTTGTCCACCAGCAACAACAATTCCTTGTTTAGCACCATTCAACCATTTTATCACTCGATGGTTACAAGTATCTGATACATAAATTGAATAATCTCGATCGACAAAGATATAAGTAGGCGAATCAAGTTGGTGAAGATGATTGCCTTTTCCATTTCCACCAGCTACAATTGTTCCTTTTTTGTCACCTTGCTTCCATCGTCTTACTTCGTTCTTTTTCCAATTAGAAACATAGAGATCTTCATTGCTATCCATTGCTAGACCTCCACAGTCAATGTTTGAGATAACTATTTGTTGGTTTATATTATTACGACGAGAATATCGTACTATGCGTTTATTTTCTTGATCGGAAATGATAAGTGAATCATTCTTTCGGTTGATAATCACATCTGATGGACGGTTCAACTGATCGATTCTATTTCCATATCCATTTCCACCAGCGACAACTCGACCATTGGTTGTACCACATTTAAATTCCATAATACGACAATTATAACAATCAGCAACATAAATGGCTTGATTATCGTTATCAATGCAGATACTAACAGGAAGCGATAGTTGATGCAATTCACTACCTTGCCCATTTCCTCCAGCAATAATTGTTCCATACTGTTTCCATTTCGTATTTTTATGAATGTTCATCGAACATATCACTTTTTCTGAAAAGCAAGAAGAAAGATGAAATTATCGAAGATTTTAAGCTAGATGAAGAATATATTTGTTTGTTTATTAAGGAAATTTTCAGCATATAAAAGCGAAATTCTGTAATATACTTTAGAATAGAAAGTACCTTGATTATTATTTGTAATAAAGTAGACTTTGTTCGTGAGAGAACTTATTCGATGAGGTAATTGCAAACCATCAGTTTGTAGATTAACATTGTCAATAACATTCATTATTATTTCTTCGATATCTTTATTGGGCATTGAAATATATTTTAACAAATTTTCCATAAAACAACCATTTCTATTATTTTGTGTTTCTTCTAAAATTAATTTACCAGGTGTACAAGAAAATACAATTAGACTTTGTAGTTGTGGTATGATTGGTACTAATCCTTCATTTCTACTGATTAGTCGTGTTCGTCTGATATATCTGCAACAATCAAATAGATAGATTGAAATCCGACATTGTCTATCATATACTTTCTTCATGATATATTTAATATTTATAGCATATTGTATTATATAATCATGTTCATCTGTTAGATAATTATAATCATAATTTGATGGTAATAAATAATTTTCATCACCATTGTGTTTACTATGACCGGCAAAATAAAACAATACTAAATCATCATGTTCAATTGTCTCAATAAATCTATTAATTTGATGTAAAAACTCATCAAGACTGCAATCTAAACCCAAAAAGGTGTCAAAACCGATATGTTGAAGAATTGTATGTAAATCAGTAGCATCATTACAACAATAGTGCAATGGATGACAAGGATATTTATTAATGCCAATAATTAAAGCTCGTTTTCTTTTATAAATAATAGATGAATTCATCAGATCTGAAATATATTCACAAATATTAAAAAAAGCAAACGAAAGATTTTTTCTCTCGATGCCACTGTGAAATGTCAATTCAAATAGGTGTATTATTTTCTTTCATCTCTTCTACACTGTTTTTGTTCGATGTTTGATGTAAACAATAAGGAACGAAGCAGAAAATATTCTTTTCTATGCATCATTCAACTTGAAACATTATTTTTGTTTTGTTGTTTTATATTTCACAGATTTCGCTCAACATGCGAGGACGTGGGTTAGGTGAGGATCCGAGAGATAAAGGAGAGACACCCACATCCTCAAGATTAAAAATCTGTATGTTGTAAACGATGAAAATCAAGATAAGCTACAGATATTTTTTCTTTATTTTATAACTCTGATAAAGTCATCTGGAAGGAATATCGCTGCGAATATATTTTAAATTCTGAAGAAATGAAAAAAATTAGACAAAGAAATATAATGTTAAGGACAAAGAGTTATCGATCGACGAATGATAAGACGCATGCCAATGGGAAATGAAAGACGATCATTTAGTTTGAGTGAACCATGATGCTCACCATATTCATATACAAGAAAAATATAGTTGATATTGCTCTGAACACGAACGAAAATTTCATACATATTGCTATTAATAGTTAAATCAAAAATAAATCCTTGATATTTAATACCATGAAAAGTAAATTTCGTTGCTTGATCTGGTAGATGACCTCGGGGATTAAATTCAAGTTGATTTAATTCTAAACGAATACCACCGTAACCAAAAAGAATAGCTTGTAAGAAACCTCCAACACCAGTTATAAAATTAACGGTTCCAACACCTTGTTGAGTTTCTGTCCATACCTATGATATTCAAATAAAATGAAAAAAAAATGAAAAAAAAATATTAAAATAACTAACATTGAATGGAGATCGTACATAGCTTTGATATGAACGTCGAAATAGTTGATCAGCTTTATCAAAATCACCTAATTCAGTGAATCCAATCGAATACATCGACCAAGTCATAGCAGGTCCATCAGTACGTGTTAAAGGTTCATAAGCTAATAAATCATTTCGTCTCACTACATCACTCATTTCCCACATTAATGGAAAACCAAGAAGTACAACATCAGCTTGTTTAATAGTAGTATTCTCTATATAAATGTATACAGATATGATGAATTCTTTGAACTGAAGTCTATCAAGTGCATCACTTACTTAAATTAAAACCATCATATTCAAGATAATCTTGAGTTGAATTATCGAAAGGAAAATATAAATTAGATGCAATATCTAGCCACTTTCGTGGTACGGTTTTATTAGTAATGCAACTAACATAATTAGCTAGTTGAATAGAAAGTGAAGCGACTGCATTTGTATAAACAGAATTATTTTTAAATGGTTCAGCATCTTCATCTGGTGGTAACACAGCTATCAGAATATAAAATACAACATGAAATGGTTTTATTTCAGAAAAATGATTTACATAATATTTCATATTGTTTTCTATCAGTATTATAGATCGCTCGTGAAGCCCAAAATCGAGCTGTTTCATAGATTAATTCTCCGCCACGTTCATTTAATAACCAATCTTGATTGCCTGTAGCTGCAATATATTGTCTAGCTGCAAATGCAATATCGCCCGTAATATGCAATTCATAAAGTCGACCTGTAGGGCAGCAATCTGGTGTGACATCAATACCGGTTCTAGCACTTTCCCAAGGAAATCTTATTCACAAGAATTATAAAAAATAAATACATATATATAATTTATTAGATACCTCCATCCTTCATAACCAAATAGACGAGCATTATAAGCTGCAGCATCACTTAGAGCAATTCGATATGATAACATTTCTTTGGCCAATCTAATAAAGAGAATTCATCAATCAACAGAATGATTGTACTTCTATTTACGTCGGATAGAAAAGAAGAATTGATGGATACATCCATGTTTCCATATCCCAAAATGAATGACCACTATAAGCTTCTCCTTCATGTCCACCCCATGAAAGAGTACCAGGACTTAAACCATAGAATTGTTTTGGTTTACTTTTCGTTGATAGTGGTGGTAGAGAACTTAAAATATAATAGAAAGCAGAATTGATTTGTCTTTGTAATTCATCATCTCCTTCTATATCGATATGTCCACTGGACCAAACATCATTCCATCGTGATATATGCGATGCTAAAATAGCATCTGGTTGTTGCTCAATTGTTGCTAATGAAAAAAACAACGAATATTTTATTTATTTTAAAAATATCACTAAATAGAACTTACCATAATCAAAACTTTGTTTAGCTATTGATTGATTTCCATCAATCGATGTAACAAAAAGATATGTCCGATTTGTTTCGTTTTCATTAAGTTCTAATCCGTGAACAGGTAATGGTGTATAATAAACAAATACAGGTAATGATTCTGCTTGAAATAGACTATTTTCAATTTCACGTGTTTTACCAGATAAAAGACTGTAATAAGAAAAAGTGAACAATGGCATAAAATTAGATTAAATATTATTTACACATATTGAGAAGTACGAGTTGCATTGGCAAAATCGATATCATCACTCGTTGTATTTTCATTTACTTCAATAGGTACAACAATTCTCGTTCCTACAATAATATTCAAAACAAAACAAAATGATTATGACAAAAAAGAAATCTAACCTATAGGTGCTTTTCGAATTAGTACTACATGAGCAAGTAATAATTCAGTATATTCTTGTGAAGCAAAGAGACGTCGTTCAATTCGAACTTTATCATTTTCAAGTATTTCACTGAATATACCTACGAATATAACAAAATAAAAATGACTGAGAGAATAGATTTTACCTGATGAAACATTTAAAGTATACAATGATGATGATGAATTAATTTTAAATTGCCAATTTAATGTACTTGGAATACATGCTCGATGACTGGTACCTTTAATTGAAAAATAAATATTAAGAAAAAAAGAAGAAAAACAATAGACAAACCATTTTGACCATTATAAAGTCCATTCATATAAATAACATCATTGTATACAACTGTAGCTAGATGACCATTACCAATATAGGGTAAAATCCGATAATCAAGTGAAGAACCATCCATTGGTAGTCTATATTTCAATCGAATCTATTAGGAAAAAATTCATTTCAAAGTTAAGATATTATACTTATCAGTACTGAAAGTTGTTGTCGAATTAGATTGTTCGATGGGTGCTGTTTGTACAAGAATGAACTTTAATGAAATAAGCCATAAGACAAGCAACATCATAACTAAACTTTTAACTAATCGAATTTGAATACGCTCTTGTTTATTGTGTCTATGAAAATTTGTAATATGAAGATAAAGAAAATGAAAAGAAATGACAAGCACACATAAGTTAAAAGATAGAAGATGATGATAATAATAATAACAACATGGTCAAATAATAAACATTGCACAAGGATGAAAAAGAAAGTTTATAGAGGGCAGGAGAATCTATTATCTTTTTTTTATAGATATAATCGAATGTAGAGAATGTCAGATGAAAAATTTAGTGTCTAAATATGAGCGTAAGTGACATATTGACTCTATTCAGTATGATGTGGGTGTGGGTATAAGTCATTCTCTTTTTTTCACGCACACCCACAGTCACACTGACATCCACCCATCTAATATGTCTGTTGTGTGTTTCACCAATTTTTTCCTCGATTTCTAGCCTAACTATTAGAGTAGAAACAATCTTCTATAGTTTTTACAGAAAATTGGTAAATACCACAAAAACTATCAGGCAACAGTTTTTTTTATAAATTTACAGGCTAGATACATCAAATCTTCAACTTTTGACATATAAGAAGGTTCATGAATAATTCATCGTCAGCGGTTAACTTACGTATTATTTCAATGTTATGTAGAAAAACAGAGAAATAGTATACGGATTAAAAATAAATGAATAATGAGAATAACAGATGTAACCAATATTGCAGAATCGAAAGAAGTAAGAGGAAAATATATCAAATTAAATTTTCTTGTAGGAGCAACATTATCTCATTAGTTATTGGATACGCCCAAGTAAAGTAAAAATAAAAAATGTAATAACTGTTTCTTTCTCTTTTTGTATTCATTTGCTCTCGATGTCTCATCCAATCTTCTATAAGTCTACTACTTGGTGATCTTGTCATTCTTGTAAATGAGCTAATTCTTGTTTTTTTTTCATTATTTTATTTTCTCCTTTTCTAACCTTTATTTCTATCTTCTGTTTTTAGTTTTTTTGCTTATTTTTGATGAATATATGATCTATTTGATTTATTCATGTATTTATTAAAATATTGTGAATGTTCTTTATTATTAATTTTGGTTTCAATCTAAAAAAGTCGAATATTAATGAAAAGAATTTGAAGATTGTTTTATTAGCGAAATTGAAGCAAGCGCGAAAGCCATATTTACAGCATTTTAATGTCAAGCAAAGCTTTATTTGTGGATAATTTTTGAAATGTGTTTTTTTTTTTGTAATTAATATTACGGAAATTTAGTAGTAGATGAATATAATTGACTTGAAGAGTTACGTATAGAACAAGGACTTGTGTTTAATAGTATAGTGTTATTGCCTTGAGATTGTCCGAGAAGGATTAAATCGAATCCACCATCACCATTAAAATCACCGATACCAATATAAGCTGGATTCGAAGTCCAGGTTGAAACTTGAATTGATTCTCCAAAACTTCCGTTGTCATATTCAAGCATCACATATACAAAATTTACTGCAGGATATAAACCATAACGTACAGCATCTGGAAAAATAGCGATAGTAATATCCAGTTGACCATCACCGTTGAAATCAACGGCGGTGATTGAGTATGGTGGATAAAGAGTTTTTATTTTAAATATCATTTGTGCTCTAAAACTTCCATCCCCATTTCCAAGAAATACACCAATATTGTAATCGCCTGTGTTCGCAACGACAATGTCCAAATATCTATCACCATTGAAGTCATTTGCGATGGTTGATGTTGGATAACTGGAATCTCCTGTTGACAAGATTATTGGCTCTTTGAAACTTCCAATATTATATCCAAGCATCACCGACACGTAAAACTCATGATTTAGAGTGACAGCGATGTCCTGTTTACCGTCACCATCGAAATCAGCGACAGCAGCCGATGATAAACAAAAATCATCTATTACAGGCAATGTTATTTGAGTTGTAAAAGTTCCATTTCCATATCCAAAAAATAAACCTATACTACAACTTGTAACGTCGATAAAGACGATATCTATATAACTGTCACCGTTCAAATCGCTTGTAGTTAACCAGGGATGCTTAAAATAGAATACATACAAATACTGACTATTACTTGTCAATAGTTGCATTGTTTCAAAAGTTCCATTACTAACTCCAAATAGGATACCTACGCTGCCGCTATAATAATTCATACCAGCGAGATCCTGATGACCGTCATTATTAAAATCAGCGGCAGCAAGAATTGCTGGAACATCACCATTGTTTATGCCCGTTGGAGACGTTATTTTTTCTGTGAAGGTTCCGTCTCCCTTTCCAAGAAACACATATAGATTTGTGTCACCAAATAAAGAAACATATGTGGCCACAAAATCTAATAAACCATCGCCATTGAAATCATTGACAATGGCTGTAGCGAAATCGTAAAACTTGTAAAAATCGTAAACGGACGAACTTGTTATGTTTAAAGAAATTGGTTCATTGAACATCAATTGACAAGTTGATACTAAGAATGAAAGCAATTCATTTAGTTTTCAATACACTATTATGAGACATTTAAATACTAATATATGCACTGTTAATGTGCATTATGCACTAATTCATAGTTTTTTGTATTTCTATACCTGTATACATACTGATGTTTAGCACAGATGTTCAATCAATTATCTTTGAATAAATCTTCTTTTAGTATATATAAAAGGTGTAGTAGTTTAATCCTTTTTTTTATAGGATCCATCTTGAAAAATCATCGATATTCTCACGTCGTATTGAAAAGAATTTTTATACGAAGTTTTATTTAGTAAGTATAATAAATAGATTTTTAATAGAACTTTTATTTCAAGGATTCAACATACAAATATGAATGTTTGTTTTTGGCAAATATAATAGATAGTCTTACTTTTAAAAGATTCAGCTTGACTGATTGAACCTTATATCATCTGAAGATGCAAATTATGGAGAATCGTATATCAATTTCAATATCTACTCATTTTTGTTAGTAATCAAGTAAAGGCAGTAAAATTTCTCGTATACTCTCATTTCATTTTCTAATATTTCGTTCACTAAGAGTATCTTTAGTAGCATTGACTATTTTTAGAAATTTTACGGTCGTCGATAGGTTTCACAGTTTCACTATGATAAACTTTTACCGAAGCAAAATGATTCTGAAGAATAAATATCAATATATTGAATTATGATATAACAGCTTTAGAAGCTAAAGTATTGTACTAATTAATATACTTAGTCAATTATTGGCTAGAAACACAACAATCTAAATGTGACAACAAGTGCATTGATATGCTATCATGAGACTATTTAGGTGCTGTATCAAACAATAGATATTCACTTACACAAGATTGATTATTTTCACCTCAATGTCGTGTGTTCTCATTCTATATCTTTCTCTTTCCTTTGATTTTGCTACTTTAGTTTTGGTTTAAACTTATCCAAAGATATATTGAGAAGTGGTTTTAAATATGTTCTGTACTTGATACACATTAGTATTATATATACACACAAACTTCTTTCTCACACTCTTCTCTCCTTCCATTTCTTATTTTCATTTTTATGTTATACTATGTACAAATGTATATTCGTCGTTAGAGGAAACTTGTTAAGAATAGACAAAATCATTATTGAAAATGAAATTAAATGTATTATTATCAAGAATAATATTTAATCTCACTAAAAATCAATATTGAATGAGTGTTTATCGTTCTTAAACGTTGTTCCAATAGATGTTCTTTAGTTTAACTATTTTTAGACAAAACCAAATCAAAAAATTCAAATGATTTATAAGAACTTATTCGAATGTCTCAACAATTGCCTTTTAGTACTTGTCTTTAAAGTTAATAACTGTTAAAAGAATCTAAATTATTTTAAAGAGTTTCAGATTTCAAGAATATACTGTGAAACTATCGTCAGTTAAAATACTCTAGTAAAAAGTTGTGTTAAAAAACAGAACAATAGAAATTAGAATAATTCATTTGAAATGGTATTATGAAAACTTTCGTTGCTCTCATTTAAAATCATTAGAAAGATTTAGAAAAAAAATAATAAACCATATTTAAATAATTATACAGACCTGTTGAAGTAGGTAATGTTGTTACTGAACTCGTCGTGCTTTTGCCACTAGTGGTTGTTACAATCATATGTGGAAAGTTTGTTTCGTTCATTGATGATCCTAAAAGACGATACGTGGTAATGATTGATTTAAATACAGAAAAATCAATTGATGATAATCAAAACAGAGTTATTTCTCTTTTTTCTTCTCAATCATAGTAAATGCTATTTTAATAAAATCTAGTTTTGAAATCCTAAGTTATGTATGCGTATTTGCTATTAAAAAAGTATTCAATTGAATCAATATTATAGTTTTATTTCAATATAAAAATATTTCATTTACAAAGTTTGTTTTTTTTTAATGAGAAAATACAATAGAACAATAACTCATAACAACTAAAAATTAACTGTGAATCGGATCTTGTTCTTCTTCGTCTAACTCTTGTCTCTCAAATTCCTTAGAAAAAATTCTTTTTTCAATACAAATCTTATGAAATTCTCTATACAATCATAAGTATACTTTACTCCAAAATTTCAATCAAGAGGATCAAGTAAGTTGTAAACAAGACGAAAAAAATAATTTTTCGCAATTGAAAACTATTCTTTTCCTATTATTTTCGTTAAAAAATGTAGTAGAAATATCAATTCAGTTAAGTTTAGTACTTTCAAATATTCTTTTCTCATAATTTGTAACAATTTTTTAAAGAGAATGATGTGCTTACGAGGTAAAGTTTCTTGAGGGTGAGTGTGAGCTGGCGTGACTGTAGGTATTATATTTAATTGTAGTTAACAACCACACCCACACCAACACTCAACAGTTGCAATCTCTTACATTCGAATATGATCTCACTCTTATCCGTATATGATATTTCAAAAAAGTGCGCTTTAATTTTGGAAATACACATTGTTCTTTTAGCTTATTGATCGGACTACTTTGACTATCGAAAAAATTGTTTGAAAATAAGACTTTACCTGTTGATACAACTTGGTTGTTTCCTTGTCGAGTGAAATAAAAAGTGGACACAATAATGATGATCACTACCATAATCATGAGTATTATAAACCAAAAGATAGATTTGTAGTTGCGCAGTAATGATGAAAACCATCGAGTTCTAAGAGAAAATAATATATATTATAACTAATATAAAAGAAAAAACAGATCTATACTCAGTTGTTGTATTTGCTGGTACTAATTCTGAATTTACAGTGGTATGTTGAACGTTTTCATAGCAAGATATTGTGTCAATAGTATTTATAGGTTGAACTGTGTTGGATTTCTTCTTTCGATACTGTTTCATATTAGCTCCAAGACGAACTATCCAGGGACAGATCCACTTGAGAGCAATTGTAAGACCACCATAGATACTAATTAGAAAGGTTATTGTGTAAATTAAGTTAAACTGTTGGATGTAAGTATATGAACACATCGAAGGTGAACATTGTTCAAAGTATAATGAATAATTGATTTTTGTAGACCAATCTTCAACGAAAAGAACATTGACAAGATCTCTAACAGTTGTATTAATTAAGAAATGACTATTATTTGAAGAAAGAGGAATAGTAGTATTAATAGAATTGCTGTAGTTTGTCTGTTCTTGAATAAGATTAATGCATGAAGAGTCATAAAAACATTCGAGAGTTGAAGCAAGAAACGATTCACTTGGTGTACAGCCCATTTTTAAGCCTTTGACTGGAATAATTTCAGATGAATCGTTAGACATGAAGTTAGCTTGAGTTGTACAGGTTGCATTCAATCCACAAGAACAATTATTATCATAAATCACGGCTTGGGCAAGTCCAGAGTTAAAGGTCGTTAGGCTAAGTAAAGCTGTATATTCAAAATTGGTTCCATAAGTTGATACGATCGCATTTCCATGGTTTATGGTACGAAGTAAAGATAGAATACGATTGAATGCTGTGGGAGCATCCAATTGGCTCTGTTCGATCAATGAATTGATTTGGAGATTGAACAATGCTTCTGATATAAGTTGAGTATTGCTCAATGTAGAAGAAAGAAATTGACTAACAGAATTATTTACTGTTTGAATAGATATTTGACACAAACCATTAAGAAAATGTAAATGAGCTAAAAGGAAACGGCGATAATCTGTTGTATTATAGATAGATAAATCAGGAACAAGACCAGCTAAAAGATTTTCACGCCATTCATTCGAAGCAAATGTACTTGAACAAACCTAGAAGAAATTCAAAATCAAAGAAACAACATTAATCGAGACTTCTCATTAAAAATATCATGTTAATCAATTCTAAATTGGAAAAAAATAAGCTGTTAATATTACTTCTAATCATATATCGATGCAACTAAATAAAATTATAATTTTAATTTAAATAACTTATGAAAGAAAAAACTTTAAAGTAAAAATCGATCATTTTACAGTAATGAATAATAGCAATTTTGTTATTATAATTAAATAGATTAATACATTGATTATAGATTTAACTATGAAATAATTAGTTTAAAGAAATTATAGAATAAATTGTACATTTTAGAGCATTTTACATCAATATACTCTTATCATTTACATTAAACAAATTCAAACAACATCTTTGTCTTACTTGATGAAATACAGGTATAATTTGCACATAATGATCATATGTTGATGAAATTGATGAACATTGACATTGAAGTGTAGTTCGGTGGTCTTGTACAAGTTTATTGTAGATACCGAAGGATGGATTGTCAAATGTCTTCGTTCGAAGTTGAGGTTGAACGATAGTATACAAAGCAATGATAGCGAAACTAATAAGAAGTAGAAGAATGTAAAGACGTGTAGCCAGTTGACCAAGACGTTTTGCTGTTATTCGATTAGTATCACTTCCAAAAGCCCATAAAGAAAACATATTCAGATCGATTAATTTAGTGTATATAAGTGTACGTATTTTTGATAATACTCCTTGTATTCGATTGAACAGTTTCGGACGAACTATTTACAGAAAAATTAGTATTATTATTACTGTTATTTTAAGATCAAGTACTTTTAATTGTTACGACATCTACGATTAAGAAAGATGAAATGTATTGTATATTTTCTCAAACCATAATACAACAAAATGTCAAATTAATAAAAGGAGGCCGATTCGCATTGATTCTACTGTTGATATATGTTGCGTATCAAAATTTTCGTTGTGGGACTATTATTTTAGAAAATATTTAGGGTAAGGGTGTGGGATTTTTTCTTTAACAACATCAGCATACACCTACACTCACATCCATACCCACACCCTTCTAATTTTTATTTCACTTTTATAACTTTACTTTCGTCTTATACAAAATAAGATTATAACATTTCTCTAAAAACATTTCATTAATAATTACCTTGTTGTTGTTGTTGTTGTTGTTGTCTCTTAGGCTTTCGTGTAAATAAACCATGTAAAAAGTTGATAAGTAAAGGCGTAATTATTCGTAGTGCAGCCGAAAGACCACCAATCATAGATATCATTATAAGTAATATCCCAGTGAAATTATTTTTATATGCTGTAACAGTATAACTACAAGAGGTTGGTGCACATGCTTTCCAATAGAACTCATACGAAAGTACAAAATTCCACTGCTCGACCATTAGATCTTCAATTACCAATGATAATGTAGTCTTTGGCGGAAAATGGCTCGATGCTTGGTCATAAATTAGAGGAGGAACACTAGCCATCACCGATGTCCTAATATAAGAAAACAAAGATGTTTAGGTAAAGTTGGATCAAAACTGAAATATTTTTTGTAAGATTTATTTAGGAATCTCTTCCAAAGCTTATCCTTTAGTTTTCAATTGATCTCAACATATTTTATTTGCTTCACGATTAAAGTTTTGTTTTTTATTTCATAATACTGATTTTAAACAGATTTCAATCATTTATAGATAATATTATATTCAATATTCTATAAAAAAAACCTTATGAGTTATTCAAATCCTTTTTCTTCATACTCAATGGTCGTCTCATATGTAATAGGACAATACGTTTGACAAAAGGGAAAAGAAACTGAAAATAAGTCTTACTCAAATTTAACGGAAATCTACGATACGTTTTGTCATGCAAGGGTCAATAGTACATTGACATTTTTTGAAATAGTTTGTGAAGTACAAAAAAGATAATCGAGTGCTATATGAAATAAATCAAGATTTGGTTGAGCAAGTATATAAACTTTTGAAAACAATACTGAGATAACTTTCATTTAGATATATGACAAATGTTTCCAAATTGGATAAAAAATTTTTATATGTCAGAGGTTTTTTTGGAGAAATTGTTCTAACTGTAACTAAATCAATGATAAGAATTCAATAAAAAACGTCAATATTTATAATAAGTATCAACATATTCTAAAACCAATCAGATAGAAATTGCTCTCATCTCAACTTAGTTTGACTCACGTACAGGGTTGTATCATAACTTGTGTAATAGAGCAACATTGACAGGCAATCCGAGTCCGAATAGAAACATTCGAGTGTCGAAGAAAGAATAGAGTTGAACGCGAAACAATCATAAACAAGACCTGGTCCTGTATAGACTGGAGTTTCCCTCGTAAAACTATATCCAAAACGATATTCATATAATTTCTCTGATTGTACGCAATTGATATTAGTAGCACAAATACATTGAGAGTTTGTTACATCGACATTTGATGGACCATCCAAACGAAATGCAATCTGAAAGTAAAAGAAACATCTGTATTGTGTCGTTTATAAATCTTAAAAATGCTCTTTTTCAATTTAGAAATAAGAGGAAAATCTTACAACATATCATTTTAGAATGTTTCTCCTAAACGCAATTTTGAAAAATATGGTTTAGCTTAGTGAAGTTAATCCTTTCAGGACTGAATTATTTTTTTTTTTGAGAAAAATAGAAGAGCAAGTATTTAATCTTGTGGAGATGGTTTACCGTTAAACAACTGCTAGTCAGAAAAAAACTGTTATCTTATCAAATTATTCTTAGCGACAGATATATACATAGTAATTTGGAAAGAGAACAAAATCACTAGAACATAATCAAAATAAAAGAGAAATCACCAGATAATATAAAAAACATCTAAGATAAAATTGAATCAGTACAAGTTTTGGAATATTTGTACAACAATATTTTTGACAAATTCTGTTACACGAAAAGACTCTATCAGATTTTTTGCATTCATCTACTATCGCAATTCACGTTATTAGATGTCTATTACATTATTAATCTATTACAATCTATCATTTTCATAATCCTTTATTTTTTCTATTACATTATCATTATTAACACTCTTTCTTATATCTCATATAAATATTATTCAGTAATATTTACTTGTTTTTATTTTCAGAATCTTTCTTTATTTGTTTCTATTGAAGCAGTACATCATAATCAACCAGTCATTCTTTCATCTTTCTCTATCATTTTCCTATAATAGCAACGCTAGTTTCTATGTTTATGATTTGTTTGTTTTTCGTTGTTATTAACAAAATATAGGAAAAATATTGAGCTTCCACTGATATATTCAAAGATTTCTCACTTTAAGATAAAGGAAATTTAACTTTTTCAATTTCATTCGAAGAGTTCGAACAAAGTATTTTTCGTTTTAATCAAAAACATACCTGAACTGATTGTTGGCCATTCGTTTCATTGATTATGGAACCTTCCACTTGATAAGTACCTGATGATGTCGCGTAAAATTGATCAACTTCAGTGACAATTTGTACAAGATCAACGAGATTGCGATAATCGACGACTGTTGACTGAATGAATTGATTATAAATTGAATCTAGTGAAGCATTGAAATTGTTTTCAGTGAGTAAATTTGAAGTGATAAAAGATCTCGCAGTAAACTGCTGGACAGCATCACTGATCGTGGTATTAGCCAGTTGACAGAGTTCTTGTATTATTTTAAATTGGAAGGACGCTTGGTAACGCCAATCTGATTGATATGAGGACTGACTGAATGACTTAAATAGGTTAATCACATCATTTTTGATAAAGTCGCTTGTGCACACTTGATGAAAGGTTGGATTGATTGAAATAAATGCATAATACGGTATTACTATGTTCGAACAAAGACATTTAAGAGTATTTGGATACAACGCTTGCAATTGATTGTAGGTAGTGAACGATGGATTTGATACACTTGATGTGATAGTTTGAGTCTCAAGTGAATTGAATAGAAGCAATATGAGAAACAAGCCTATTGAAGAAAATATAAAAATAAATATATTAACACAAGTGAAATTGGATTAATTTTTATCAAATAGAAATTCACTAACAGATTAAGACTGCAAGAAAGTGAGAAAGACTGAAATCATACAAGTCTTACGTGATGAAAACTGGTGGTTTACCGCGGTTTTACCAATGCGGTTACTACCTCTTATTACTGTCATTTACCACGATAAACTACCGGTTTTAACGATTTTTGTAGTAGATGATGACTTACAGCTAAAAAGGAAGCGGTGTTCTCGACATATTTTGCATATGTGAAATTGAAAAACTCGCTTTCATCATTGAATATTTTGTTTTTGTAAAGAGATTATTCTAAATATTATATTTGGGTGTGGGTGTTGGTTTGGTTTAAATGAAATACCTACACCCACACCCACACTATCTGTTTTTTAATTATGTTCCATTTAACTTATCTTCTATTTAGCTTTTAAAAAAGAAACATTAAATATTATTTCATCTTAGAATTCTATAGTTATTCGAATAATATCCTCATACACTGATTTCTCATGTGGAATACAAAAACAAAAATTTCAATAAAAACAATCATACCAACAAGTAAGACCAAATACATGCGTGTTATTATTCGCTGTTTTTTGAGATCATTTTCTGTTCGTTCATTGGTTAATCTGAACAAATTCAGTTGTTTTATCCATACACCAGATTTACGCATACGTATCATAAAATATGCTACAAAATTAAAATATAAATTAAATTTTCAATAGAAACTGTTTTTCCTTTAATCAATCTTTACCAAAATTAATGGGAATGTTTGTTAAACGAAATTCTATTTTTGATGCGATATTAACGACTGTAGTTGATATGAAACGTAGCACGATGATAAGACTACCGTATAAACTAATTAAAAGACCAATTGTATATGAAACACTGGTCCAATCTGTTTTCGTATATGTGCAGACTGAGGCAGCACACTCAGTAAAATATATTGAATAATTGATCTTTGTTAACCATTCGTTTACAAAGAGATTTGATAAACGATCATTGACAGAAATGTTTGTTCCATTTGAACGTAGTAAAGAACTAAAATTCACCTAAATGAAAAGAACAGTTGCAGAATAAGTAAGATTATGTCATACATACTTGATTGAGAGCTGGAAAATAGGTGGGCAATACTTCCAAACAACTGTCACTGTACAGACAATCGAGTGTACTTTCAAGAAGAGCGACGAGTGGATAACATCCTTGAAAGAATCCACTGACATTTGCGGAAGCATTTAACGCATCAATCAGCTTACTAGGTGAATCAATATAATTATTATTAATATTACTATCCCAAAAGTTTAGATAGGAAATTGAATAAAAACCAGCTGGATTTATAATACTATCTGTCGCACAGGTTCCAACGCCATCAGCAGTTCGGATGTTGAGACCACTTACTATATCCTCGTCCGCTGGAAAGATATATACGGTGTATACTGTATTGATAGCAGTAACTAAATTGTTTGATTGAGTTGTGATTTTTAAAAACTGTATGATTGAGGTGACTTGAACATGTAAGTTCTCCCGAATAAGTTCAATTGCCGTGTTTACTTCAGATTGAACTTCATCTTCTGGAAGAAGTTGAACAGTGATAAACGGATCAGTACCAAATTCTTTTATGCTTTGAAAAATTGAATCATTGGAGAATGAACAAAGATCAGCCAGAATTTGGAACTAAATGGAAATTCAAACAAATCAGACAATGATTTCTAATTATATCACATAGAAGTGCATGGATGTTACATCATCATCACCTCATACCAACTATTAACAATAATTGATCAATTTCCAGCAATAAACATTTTAGTATATAGTATTAATAAAATGAATTCTATGACACTTCTTCAAATCACAAATCGACAACAATGAAGTATTATATAAATTAAAAAATGTAAAGAAAATTGTCATGACTGCTGTTGCCTACATTCCAATTCTTTAACTCGTTTGCGTTATAGATATTGATACATTATCGATAAATAAAAGTGTTTTTCAGTAAAAGTTATTCTGAAGACTAATCATGTTAACTTTATATTTTCGTAAAGCATTCAAAAAAAGTCAATCATAGTCTTAATAAATGAAGGAGAGAATGAACGATATTTTGATTAATAAAATGAATTTCAAGCAAAGTTATTTGTTGGCTAAGTAAATTAATTAAAACAAAAAAAATAATCAAGTATTTTGTAAGAGATCATTATTTTAATAACTCAAAAGTTAAATACTCATTTGATAACTACATAACAGAAACTACTATAACTATGTATTGATTCTTTTATAAACTTAATCTTCAATACTATGAGTGCTTCTTGTTACACGTGCAAAATGTTAACTTATCAATCACAACATTCATTTGTCGCTGCAAAAATACTCTTTATTGCTAGTGTTGTGACAAAATTTCCAGTGCTTTTTATTAAAACAATTTCAGACTCAAAGTCTAGACAATAACTGCCACAGCAGTTCCTTGGGATGTTATGTTTTTCAGAGTATCATTTTGATTTTAACTTATAATTGGATTGACATCATACAACTATTTTTCATCGTCACTATGTTTGTCTTTGAAAACAATGTAGTTCTTAAAATTCGTTGAACATCTATTCGAAAAGACTATTCTTAAAAGATATTCTAATGAGAATTCGACATCGATATCTGCAAGAAAAATTCGTAAGAGACACTATTCATATAGATTATTGTCTATTGAATAATAAAAGAGAGGTATGACCATTCACATAAGCGATCGTTACGTCTAGTTAAGCTTCGATCGTTGATCTCTAAAACATGTATCAAAGAAACTTTTTACATTTTTCTTTTATGTTACAGACTGTATAGATTTCTCAGATGAAGACATCGAGAACAACATGCACTGAAGAAACATAGAAACAGATACACTCTTGAAGTATTTGAGAATGGAGTGAAGTAAAAACTTTGATATTTCGCATAACCTCATCTGGACAATCTTCAATTGTTAAATCATAGACTAATATATAGACGATGTATATGCTGCCGAATATCATATTTAAATGGTTTTACTATATTCAATTCAAACAAAGACTCAACATGGTGCGTTTTTGAATTTCAAAATATCTTTTTACAAAAAATCTTTACTCACTTG